ACAGCGACGATTCACGCAATGGGCGTTGCGTTTCCAATGGAATTATTTAAATTTGTCATCATCTGGTTTTGGTTTTTTATTTTTTCTCTCTCTCTCACTCTCCCGTATAAATTTCGCGTGCATTCGCATCTATAAGCATAAACAATAAATTAATTTGAATTATAGCTGTTAGCATGAAGTACTTGGTATTCAAATTCGGTTTGAATATGGAATAGTTACCGCCATAGATCTAATTGTTATGCCAATTTTCTAGTCTCTCACACTTTTCCAATTGATTTCATTTGCCTTTTATTCGGGAACAGGCGAAAACAGATCTCTGTTTGAACAAGTGACAGATAGCTACATCAGTTGCTCAGATAACAAACGGTATGTGGAGCATCAGCACAGGTGAGCGAGCCAGCGAGCGAGTGAGAAAACATGTTGAAAAGCAATTCAATCAATGGACTTCACTATCGCTGAGATAGCACAGAAGTCGAGAAGTTTTCCACGTCTTCAGGCCAACAAACAAAAATAACAGACTCATTCAAGCTCATAATATATATGAGTAGTATTCATTTACCTGTCGATGCTGCAGAGCTTGAGCTGGGTTTTTCCCAAGCTTAAGCCACACATTAACCAAGAAGTGGTAGAGTTAATAGGACAGGCCAACAGGATTTAGTAACCATGACGTAACGTAAGAGAGACTTAGGGTAGATTGATAGGCGAGATAGTCGAGGTCAGCTGAAGGTCAACTTCTCAGCTAAATTTATCAAACGAAAATAGCTTTAGACGGCTGTAATTGTATTTTTGCTATATTCTTAACTCTACCGTCTTGAATGAAAAATAGCATCGTTCAATCAATTACAATTCAATTATAATTCTGGTAATCATTCCTCCATCGCATTTTATTGACATGTTAAATGATTTCTTGAGCCTACCGCATTTTGTGGTTTTATAAATACTCCATTTATTTTAAGTTTGTATTTTTATTTATTTTTAGCCTTTTTCTTATTATACGTGCTTCACACTTAAACATGCCTTTAATGTAAGTCATTCAGGCCGTTAACCCACTGCCACGCCTACTCTCACAACTGTATGCAGAATAAAATTCAATGTAATTTGCCAAAACGTATCAAGTTTAAACAATTTTATTTTTAAATCAAAAAATTTCCTATCAGCGATTAAATGAATGCAAAACTGTATGAATATTTGCAAAATTTCTCCGATTACCATATCATTTGAGTTTATGTTAATACCTGTTGCAGTGATTAATGATCATTTGGACTAGCCAAGTCTTATTTTGTTGGCACTAAACGCACTCAACGCATTTATTCAACCGGTTTTTGTTGTTGTTGTTGTTTATTTATACAGTGCTGTCGCCAAAGATTGTGATTTTTTTGGTACACACGTGAAGACGTCTTAAAGTGGAAGCTGGCTTGAATGACTCATAATTGCAAACGCGAAAAAAATCACCATGCGCAGAACTTGAGATAGTTAAATACACGCATCGATACAGTAAACACGTCAATACTGACGGTAAAAAAAAAAACCATAAGTATACATATATACTAATTAAAAATGTTTTTCCCTTGGTAAAGGCAGCTACGAATACAACTACAAATATTTACTTATTAATAGAAACGTTCATTATTCTAGTATATTGTGTCAAACGCTGTTCAGCTAATTTATATTTGAATTTCGTATTATATATATATTAACATTCTTTATTCGTTAAATGGAATATTACAAATTTATTGCTATAAATAAAAATGAAATTATCTGTAATGAATAATGAATAATTTCACTTAATGCATGCAGACTTGAAATAACCAGTGGTGAGTGATATTAGTTATATTCTATTAATGTTGATTTATTAATTAGAGTTAAATATCATAAAATATAAATAATTGAGACTGATGCAATATGGGTATTTTTTTAAATAGCGCGCCGTTATCATTTACTATAAATTCACTTATCGATATGCCATACATGAAATCGATGTTAATTGAGACTTTCGAGTATCGATACTATAAGTCGATACTTTGCACTGCCAAAACGTAAACAACTGGCAACACGTGCGCGGATTTTACAAATTGTTGAATAAAATGGAATTATTCACAGTAAATCGGTAAATAAAATTAACTTTTTAGTAATACATACGAATTTATTTATAATTAATATTCACAGATACACCGAGGATCAGAGTAAACTGGCACAAGGCAGTGGCGAGGCGGCAAATGAAGATGAAATTTTGCAAAAGCTTCTGCAAAAAGCTGAAAAGCGTAAACGGAAACATAAAAACATCGAGGAGGCGACAGTAAAAGAGCCAGAAGCAGAACAATCAGCTAAAGCTGTGGAAACAATAGTGCAAACAGAAAATGCAACAGAGCAACAGACAGAAACAACATCTGCTGACGCCAAAGAAACGGAGGAAGAGCCTTCGCATGATTTCCAAGTGCTCGGAGCAGATGCCTCAGCGGCAAAACGACCAAAAGTGGAAATGGTATTGCCAGCTTGGCTGGCACATCCCACAATTATCGAAGGAGGTTTGAAAGCAGCTGACAGTGCCGATGCGGAGGCAGATGCCGCATCCATTAAACAGCTGCCCTACCTGGAGAAATACATCCGCAGTGCACTAAAGCAAATGAAGATCAAACGTCTCTTTCCGGTGCAGACTGCCGTTATTCCTTGGATACTGGAGGCGCAAGCTAAGCCCGAGCCTTTTCGACCAAGGGATATCTGCGTCTCGGCACCCACTGGCAGTGGAAAGACTTTGGCTTTTGCCATACCCATTGTCCAGCTGTTGGCCAAGCGAGTGCAATGCAAAGTGCGAGCCTTGGTGGTGTTACCTGTAGCAGAGTTGGCTTTACAGGTGTATAAAGTCTTCAGCGCACTGTGCAGCCTGACAGAGCTGGAGGTGTGTCTGCTATCCAAGCAGCATCGCCTGGAGGATGAGCAGGACAAGCTAGTGGAACAGTATAAGGGTGTCTACTACTCCAAGGTGGACATTGTGGTCACTACGCCAGGTGAGTTGTGAAATTAACTGCCACACAAGATTCTTTAATTCGCATTTCAATATTTTTTAGGTCGTTTGGTGGACCATTTGCATGCCACAAAGGGCTTCTGCCTAAAGTCCCTAAAATTTCTGGTTATTGATGAGGCGGATCGTATCATGGACGCTGTCTTCCAAAACTGGCTCTATCATCTGGATGCTCATGTCCGATCGACAGCTGATCAACTGCTGACAGGTGTGCAGGCGCCGCTTTGTTACCAGGAGCTGCTCAATAGTTGGGGTAAGCAGCCGCATAAGCTGCTCTTCTCGGCCACGCTCTCCCAGGATCCTGAGAAGCTGCAGAACTTGCGTCTGTTCCAGCCCAAGCTCTTTACCACGACGCTTACTATGCCAGTTTTACAGCCTGCACTTGACAACGGAGAACTGCCTGATCAGACCAGTACATTTATTGGCAAATATACAACGCCTGCGGAACTAACGGAACAGTACTGCGTGACGGAAATGCGACTGAAGCCACTTACGCTGTATGCCATGGTGCTTTTAAATAATTGGAAACGGTTTTTGTGCTTTACCAACAGTGCCGACACAGCCAACCGTTTGGCCTGTGTGCTCGTTCATCTGTTCAAGGACTCGACGATACGTGTTAAAGAGCTATCCGCCAAAATGTCTGCAACAAAGCGAGGCCATCGCCTTTCGGAATTCGCTCGTGGCAATATTCACGGCCTCGTCTGCTCGGATGCATTGGCCAGAGGCATTGATGTGCCGAATGTGGACGTCGTAGTATCCTACGAGGCGCCGCGTCACATCAAGACGTACATACATCGTGTGGGTCGTACGGCGCGTGCTGGCCAGAAAGGCACTGCCATAACGCTGCTCACGGACAAGGATCAGGCGAACTTTAAGAAAATGCTCTACGAAGTAGGCAAATCAATGGGCGAGGAGCTTATCATCTCTCCGGACATTGAAGTCGAACATGCAGCCATCTACAAGAGTGCTCTGGAGCTGCTGCGCTTGCGCCAAGAGAAAAAGAAGAGCGCCATCAAGGTGCAGAAGATGCGCATTAGTCGCAAAGCAGATTTGCACAAGAAACCTGAAGCGGAGATGACTCTCATGGAGAAACTTCAGTTCAAGGTGGGTGTCCAAGAGAGCAAGGTGAAAAAGACGACGAAACATGCCGTTGTAAAGACCCAGAAGCCGACTAAACGCCAACCCATTAAAGAGTAAAAATGTAAATGTCTGTCGTGAGGGAATGTTCAATAAACGTAAATCTATAATAAAATGTATATATAAAGGAATCTTATCTACTGATAGAAACTGGGAAATTATAGAGATTTGTAATCCCAGAGTATGGAAGGATATGAATGAGTCTATGTCTGGCAACATTTTCATTGGGCAACACATGCGCTTGGCAACATTCCCGCTTGGCAACATTCGCGCTTTGCAACACTGATTGGCTTCACAACAATTGCGTTTGGGAACATTAAGACTTTGGCAACATGCAAGCTTGTCAACATTCTCGTATGGCAACATGTGAATTTGGCAATAGATGACTTGGAGAAATGCAGTAAAATGACGAGAGCTACAATAAAAAACGCAAAAACACGGGTCTTGGGTAAATACCTGTTACATAGAAAGAACTAAAAGTATATTTATATGAATAGCTAAAAGTTCAAATGTATTGAAATATATTATGTATGACTGTCTTATCACTGTGAGAGAGTCAAGAGTCAAGTGATTCCCCCACGGGTACATTACCGAAAGCATAAAGAAAATATGACTAAGCATAACATCTTTTGAATACTCTTTCAAGCTAAGCTTGAATAGTAATAAATGGGGCATAAATGTAAAATTTATAAATAAATAAAAGATATCAATATAAATAAATACTAATAATTATCTAGCTAAATAAAATATGATCTACTTTGGGATGTGTTGTAGTTAACTAACCTAACAAATAAGCTCAAGCAGAATAGAGTACCTCGGGCTGCCCTTATCGGGCTATTTAAACAGTTCGCTAGTCAGAGCGAATCTCAAAAGTTAAACAGCCAACAAGATGAACACATCAGCAATCAAATTTCTGACCATTGTAGCGCTCTCCACATTCGGTAATTAATCACATAAACATTCTGCCATCTCTCAGGAGCTCTCGCTAATCAGCCAAATCTCAAATAACTTATAGCACTGTGCGCTACGACGCAGGCGTTGACCATTGAGCCGCGCAGCAGTTGGGGAGCAGCGAGTGCTCGTTCGCCCTCTCGCATCAATGGCGCTGTGGAATACGTGATCATCCATCATTCGGACAATCCCAATGGATGCACCACATCACAGCAGTGCCAGCGCATGATCAAGGCCATTCAGTCGGATCACAAGGGCCGGCGCAACTTCAGCGACATCGGCTACAACTTCATTGTGGCCGGCGATGGCAAAGTGTACGAGGGTCGCGGCTTCGGGCTGCAGGGCTCCCATGCGCCCAGCTACAACCGCAAGAGCATTGGCATTGTCTTCATTGGCAACTTTGAGAGCAACGCGCCCAGCGCACAGATGCTGCAGAATGCCAAGGATCTCATTGAGCTGGCCAAGCAACGTGGCTATCTGAGGAGCGACTATACCCTGCTCGGCCATCGCCAGACCAAGGCAACTGCTTGCCCCGGCACTGCGCTCTACAATCAGATTAAGACGTGGCCGCACTGGAAAGAGATTTAGTTGAGAGAATTCTCGATATTGACTGAATTACGTATTTTAGTAGATTTAAAAATACATATTAAATAAGTAATAAATACTATATTACATGTACATAAATATTAGTATGTAATTGGATTCTATTTCTCAGAAATCTTGCTTAGAACTTAATCATATTTCATGATAAGGATTACTATTAATTCTAACAGACTCAGAACAACCAGAGTTAATTTTGTTTTTTAGTGGAATCCTTTATATATGATGCTCCTCGAGCTGTGATAAAAATCTTTCGCATTAAAAATTAGTATATATTTACAACTTTCTCTTGATTAGATCTTGCTTTAAATTGCAATTTCAGAATGTATCTCTGACTATTTAGAAGTTCAGACGTCATACTTAGAATTTCACCTTTAAGTGTGTTTGCAAGCTGTTTAAATATGTGAAAAAGCAAACAAATTGTTTTTAACTTAATACAGTAGAATCTATTTATGGTTCTACTAACACTTCAGCAGCTGATAAAGAGAAAGGTATGTATGTTTGCTGAACAAATCTACAGAATTTGCTATGATCAGCATCCACCTACTTGCTGAATTGCACGATTTCCTATATGTTCTGTGTCTGAATTAACTGAAATGGAATTATTTATTTTGCTGTTCATAACCCTATTTGAAGATCTCTTTTTAAAGCAAATATTTATGAGCAGCTGTTCAATATTTGGTATTTGGAACAGCTGTTATAGAAATTTAAAAAATATACGTATTTTATATAAATACATATATATGTATATGTATATCCAATCTTAAAGAAGTCTTGTGTCATCAAGCCAAGCTTAAGCAATGCAAATGAGCTGGCCTTGAGCTGCACTCGGCCCAAATGGGCTCAGCCATGGGTGACGAAAAAGGGCTCAGCTCCTTAAATGGGCGATTGCATTTGAAAAGCAAATGCAATGCAACTGACGTAATGACAGGGTATATAATTAGCTAAGCTGCTGACAACATGGAACAGTGAACAACTAGCCAGCGGCAACAGCAAATCCTCGCCAGACACTACCCAAAATGAAGCTGGTAAGTGGAGAAGGAAAACGATTGTGGAGCACCTTTTAGCTAATGCACTATTTGCAGCTGTTTTACAATTGCCTCCTTCTGCTGCTGGCTGCGATCGTGGTTCAGGCCAGCGTTTTACCTGCCAGCACTGGAGTAGCCATTCCGGCACCGGCGCTGGTTCCCGTGGCTGCGAGTCATCAATTTGTGGCGCGCAACTACAATGGCTTCTATGTGCCAACGACGACGACCATAGCTTGGCCAGCTTGGACGTCCTATCCGAATACCTACTATAAGTACAGCGGCGGCTATCCCACCTATACCTATCCCGGCTATAGCTATTCCTATGGCTACTATCCCAGCTATCCCGGCTATCCCGCCTATGGCTATGGATATAAGAGTGTTTGGTAAGGGGTGGCAGAAGGGATATATATAAATATATTATTGTGATAATCGACAACTTTACCACTCATACAACAACTTTACAAACTCATAAAGTATTATGTATTATGATAAACATAAAAGATATAAAATAAAATACTAAAGACTAAAATTTTCGCTAAAATGAATCTTTCCTTATTAACTTTATTTACTCAAGAGTAAAATGATATAAAACTTTTATTTGGGCCCATAATATATATAAATTAAATAGTTAAGCATTAAAAGATGAAAGGCGCATTGGCTGCAGCCAGTTGTCCAAAGCGTGGAAAACCAAAAATTGAGGGAAAAGCAGCCAAGCCCGACGGAGTGGCTATCAGACGAGCAGCTGGTGCGAAGGCGGCATTGAGTTGATTGAAGTAGTCCAGGCGCTGGCTGCTCGAGATGGCCAAAGGAGCAGCTCCTGGAGCGGCGAGACCATTAAAACCAGCGGCTGCCGTGGACAAGCCAGGAGCGGCAGGCAGCAGAGTAGCAGGCTGAGCAGCAGCCAGAGTCGCTACCAAAGCCAGCAATAATATGTAGAGCTGCAGCGAATGGGAGTAGAATAATGAGGATTTTAGATTAGATGAAAATACCGACTTCTTGATGTGCTATACATCCAATTGGAAATCGGTATATGTAAGCTATTACAAATATCAGTTAGTATTAGCTTTCATATATTCATTCCCAATTGAATATATACAACAGCCTGGATCTGTCCACCTTTTGCTGCATGTTGTAAAGGATATGCCTGCGAGTGACTTCGAATGTTGAATGTGTAAAGATTTGATGTGGCCATTGGCTTTTATAACAGCTGAAAGATCTTGCAGTTCCACACAGCTCAATCTGGACGTATTTGGTCGAACAATTAGGCAAATTGCAGGCCTTTTGATATAGATGATGTGGTTACGACATGGCATTTCAAAATTTGGACAAACTCGGATTGAGCGAAACTCAAATGCAGCTCCAAATAAAACGTATATGCAAAATATGAAGCAAAAGACCTTAAGATGACATAATAACAATTTCTGAATTGCTGATAAAAAATATTCATATGATATTACTGACTCTTCCATATTTAGTTTACAAAAATAAATCTTTAAATATAATAAAACCCGGTTTGTTTTATATGCTCGCTTCACGTTTTTAATTGATAGAACAAATATAATATTAATAATAATAATCATAATAATAATTATAATAACTATTGTATTCGTATTCGTATCGTATAAATGTAAATTATATCTGTATAAATATCTCGTGTAATATCTCAATATGTTTATAGCTGCTTGGGTTACGTGAGTTACCTGTTGATCGATCAGTTTTGTTCGATTTGTTTGTTATAGGCGCTTCAATATGTATTTATGTATGTATGTATGTAATTACGTCTATATGTATGCATGTATGTATGCAGTTAAATAATAAACACTTTAGGCTAGTTACACTTTGTATGGTATGTGTTAGACGATGCACTTTGGATAGTTATTGTTGATGATAATTATGATAATACATAGGTATGTATGTATATTTATATAACACTAAGCTAGACGACATTTAGCATAGGCATTAATTAGTTGCTTTCGTTACTTAGAGGATGAGTATTTGGATTCAAATATTGTTAATGTACGTAACAAACGCTCTATTAGTTATCGTAATCGTTAGTCGTTACTGTTATCGAATTAAATTTAGCATAAATAACTAGGTTAGTTGGTTGAAATAGTTGCAAATCTCTCAATTTTGCTTTATATACAATCATAACTCGACTTCATTTAATAGCAATTGATATTTCGTCGGAGCGCCATCTAGCGGTCAATAGACTCGGGCAGCGCAAGTCGTTTGGTTTACCAAAAATCAGAGGAGGTCCGTAGGCTAAAAGCATGTACATAAGATCACAGTCTATTGTTTAGTCTAAAATATATGTATGTATGTATATGGCAAATGAGTTTGACTAGACCAACAGACAGACAATTACTGAATTGGACTGCAGAGGGCAGGGGGACACGAGGACGCGACTTGCTCTACCAAAGGACATCGTAATCGTAGACGTGCTCGGACGAGGCTATGATCAGACACTTGACGAACTCATCAAAGGTGCGTTTCAGTTTCCATTTTCTCGGCTTGCGCAGCAGCTGCAACGGCTTCAACTTGATCTTTCGCTTCGGCTGCTGATCGTTCGCCGCGTGCCAGGGACTGCTCGGGGTGGATGTGGACTTGGATTGCTTCTGCGGCACATTGATGTAGTCATGCGGCTGCTGTTGCTGCTGCTGCTGTTGTTGCTGTTGCTGTTGCTGCTGCTGCTGTAGGCGCTGCTCCTGATAGTAGTGATTGAGATTGGTCAAGTAGTAAAAGTCGCCATCGTTGATGACATCGATCTCGGCATAGTTGCCGCCATCGCTCTCTGGCTGCTCGGCGAGTGCTGCTTTGCTATTGCATGAGGCCTTGGCAAAGAGTTGATCAAATCACATGTTTTCATCGAACTTTGCGAAATTGTTTTCCTCGTTCCACTGGAATTTATTGGCATCCGCATTGGTGGACTCCTCCTGCCCGGGCAGCGGCTGTTCGTCGGGTGACTTAAAGAACTCATCGTCCTCGAAGGGATCCTCTTGCTTTTTGGCAAATATATTAACCGATTCGGATTTTTTGATCAGCTCCTGGCGCTGCTGCAGCTTGCTGCTTCGCATGTTCTGCTTACGGCTGGAGGCTGAGGGCACTGCTGGCGACGCCTGCTCCTTGTCAAAGTCGAACGAGGCTTTGGCGAAATCATCCTCAAAGGCGGCATCATCGAACTGCGACACCTTCACATTGTCGTCGAAGCGCAGCTTCTGGGTTATGGGTGGCGTCTGACTGGAAGGAGCTTCCATATCGAAGTTGTCGTTGCGATGCTGCAACTGCTGCTGCTGTTGCTGTTGCAATTTCTCGCGCTCCGAGAAGTCGTTGGAGAAGCGGAACAGCGATTTGGAACCCACCGTGCTGCTGGTCGAAATGTGTCCAGCTGGCGTGGAGTTGCAGCTGGATGCAGTGCCTGCTGGCGCTGGAGGTGGCGAGCTCTGATTGAAATCCGACTCAAAGCCATCATCGAAATTGAATTTTGTGCCACCGCCGCCGCCGCCGCCGCCAATACCGACGCCAGCTGAGGATTCACCGCCACTCATCATGACCGCCGTGCTGCTGGCATTCGATCTGGGCGTGGGTGTTTGCTCATAACTGTCCACGAAGCCATAATCGCTGTTGGCACCACGTGGCCGGTTCTGCCCAGGCAGCTTGGCCAGTGTGGGCGCATGGCGCTCTTGCTGCCGGCGCTCGCTCTCCAGCATGCGCTGGTGCATCTCGTGGCGACGTCGATTCAGGCGCTCGAACTTATCCTCATCTGTGGGCGGCTCGTCGTCCACATAATCCTCGTCGTCGTCGTCATCGTCGTTGCGCTGGCAACTGATGTAGTCGTAATTATCGCGCACGCCACGCCCACTGCCATAGCGAGCGCCGACTGTGGCCAGATCCTTGGTGCTGCGTGCTCGCGTCTTCTTGCGGAATCTGTGAAGGATGTGAGATGTGAGTTGGGAACAGTTTTGCATGCACTTCCGGCTTCCACATACCTGCGATCCTTCTCGCCATCGGAGGGCGTTTGACCCAAGGCTGCGGCCCGGCGACTCTCCGCCAAACGACGCTCAGTCTCTGCAGCGCTGGCTGGTCGCTTCCACGATTTCTGTCCAGGCGGCGCGGCCTCTGAAGAAATGTGATGCAGGTTGTTATCAATATTTGAATAAATCAATTAAAGGTCTTGACTTACCCTCACCATCCCATGGACTGGAGCCGCTGCTCTTGCGTAGACGCTGTGGCGCACCTGGCACGACTTCTGCGCCTAATTGACTGGGTCTTTGCAGGCTGCGCTGCCTCTGGAAGTCCTGCTCCGAGTCCTGTTCGTAGTCAATGTCGCCGGTCACCCGCAGCTTTGCGGATGACGTGGCCGGTTTGCGCAGCGATCGCGTCTTCAGCTCCCGATCCCGCTCGCGATACTCATCCCGGCTGTCCAGGCTGCCGTAGACATCGCCGCCACTGCCGAAGCTGCGTCGCCGTCGTGACGAGCTCTCAAATGACTCGACGCTCTCGTGATCGAACGACTTGCGCTCTCGCTCCCGTTCCCGCTCTCTGTCCCTGCTGTCCCGCTCGTATATATAGTCGGGTCGTGATTTATAACCCATTCCCATGGGCGATCGTCGCTCATCGTAGACGTTCTCGTACTCAAACTCGTAGCCCGGCCGCGCATAGTCTCTGTACTCACGCTCCCTATACTTGGAACGTTCCCGTTCCCGATCTCGAGGCAGCGGCTGTCCACGCTTATCATATAAGGGCGCTGGCGGACCATAGCTAGAGCGCTCGTAGGCGCTGCGCTCAAAGGAACGAGCACGCACACCCTGCTCCATCTCCTGCGGTGACCAGGTGTGATGTGCCGGATGATGATACCAACTGGGAGAATCTGGAAGGGAGAATCGAAGAAATGAAATGAGTGAAGGAAATGAAGAGGGGCAAGCTGGGGAGTACTTGAAAGAGAAGGCAATACTAGGAATGAAAAGGAACGCATGTAATGGAACAGAATCTCTGAGTGGCATAAGGGGAATGCTTGCAATGGAACATACCCAATTCAAAGTTATCCCTGCTGCGTGAGAGTCCATGCTTGAACTTGCGCTGGGCATGCTCCCGATCGCGGCGAGCGCAGAGCTCAGCATCGTAGCTGCAAATGGAAAGTGAAAGGATTAATATTCGCCCACTTTGGCATAGGATTTTGGCACTTACTCGTAATCCTCGTCGCAGGAGTTGAGACGTCGAGCGTGTCGCATGTAGTAGCCATGTGCATGAGGATGCGGTGCGAGCTGCGAAGGCGGTGGCAGATTGCGACGCTGCTGTTTAAGATATTCGGGCGTCTCATCATCCCAAGGACTAAGATCTCGCGAGGAGGAGGACGTCTGCTGGCGTTCCTTTTTGGCCCAGCGACGCTGCTGCTGCTGTTTGGACCAGCCGCCGGCATCGTCGCGCGGATCCGAGCTGCAGGGTGACTCCGCGGTGTCCTGTTGCGATGTATTGGATGCGGGTGGCGGTGGCAGGGTTAGACGTGCCTTGCCCTTGCCACTGCCAGTGGACGGGCCGGACATCTTGGGTGAATCGAAGGTAGCCCAGGAGGGCTTATCGCGGTCCCGATCCCGGTCGCCCTGCATCTGCTTGGTGGCCGTGTCGATTAGCTGGGACACCGCCGAGAGCTGTGAGGGCACTGGCGAGGCAGCCGCCTGGCTCATTATGGGCGCTGGCGATTTCTGCAGGGGAATTGGCGAGGTGCTCACATCGTTGAACTGCGAGGGAGTGTGCAGACTGTGGGAGGGCGGCCCACGAGATGGCGCCGCCGAGGATGTGGCCGGGGAGGTGCGATCACGTGAGTCGAGCGACAGATTGGAGATGGCACGCTGCATCAGCTCATCGATCTCGATGTCGTCTCTGCCCGCGCAGCCCGGACCGCTGATCACGGCTAGGAATTTGTTGTCCTGCTTAGGGGGCAGCAGCTCCTCGGACTTGAACTCTGGCTTCTCCGCGCTGGTGGACAGCTTCTCGTACTGATCCTGTGCACTGACCGGCTCTGCATCCTTCTCGTTACTATCCATGCTGCTCTCACCGCCGGCATCCTCATCGTCGTCGTCATCATCATCGGCCACAGTCAGCGCCGAGGATGACGGCTCGGCGGGCAGGCCGCGACTATCGACGAGCCCACGTCTGTCGTGGCCGCTGTCCATGATCTGGCGTATGTCCTGATCCTCGTTGAACTCATCGCTGAACAAGTCCTGCAGCAGATCCTTCTCAGCAGTGGCCACAGCTGGAGCAGCGCTTGGTGGCGGTTTGTCAAACAGATTCTCCACCAGAATTATGTCACGCAGCGCTGCATAGCGATCCTTGGCCTGGGCCACCACTTCAGTGATTTTGGTGTCTATCTTGGGCGGGGGCGGCTCCATTTCCAGCTCAGTCACATCAATGTCCAGCTGGGCAAGCGGCTGTTGTTGTTGTTGCTGCTGTTGTTGTGGTTGTTGCTGCTGTTGCTGCTGCTCCTGCTGCGTCTCATCCACGGGCGGCGGCGTTAGGTCACCCATGAGATCTGTCTCCTGCTGCTGCTGTTGCAGCTCCTGATCGATGATTTCTCGGAAGACCGCATACCGATCCGCAGGTGGCACAGCCGGCACAGCTGGCACGGCCGGGCAAACAGGCGCCTCGTTGAAGTTAGCAAAGTTGGCCACAAAGGAATCCTGGCCCACATCCTCGCCAAAGGTATCATCGAACTTGGCCACAAACGAGGTCTGCTGATCAAAGTTGACTTTGAACACGGCTGCCGTGCCGGCGGAGGAGGAGCCGGCCGTAGCCGGTGACTGCAGTGCCTGGGCGGGACTCGTGCGGGATTTGGGCTGCGTTTGGTCGTTGCTCGCCTGCAGAAACTCGGACAGGTAGGCGGTCAGCTGCACTAGGGTCATAGTGCTCAGCTTGGTGGCGGGCACATTCAGCTTGACGGCCAGCTCATCCATGCCCAGCGAGAGCAGCTGGGCCAGCGTAATATCTGGCGCTAGTGCTGCTGCCGCTGCTGACTCCTTCTGCGACTGTGCCTGGGCAGCCTGGGCCTGCAGGATCTCGGCCTTGTTCTCGTAGATGTCCTGCGGTCGGCCCAACGAGGCCTGGCGCTGTGGTCTCGCCCGACTGCTGCTGCTCTGCGTGGGCGGTGGCAGCAGCGGCGGGGGCGTGCCGCCCAGGGGCGCCAGATAATCGTCGTCGGTGTGGCCTGGCTTGCGTGGTCGACCCGGGCCAGGAAAGTTGCCATCAGAGCGACCGACGCGCCGGGAAGGCAGAGGAATGGGCGGTGCATCGGCGCTGCGGCGCAGCTGATTGCTGCTATGGTTCAAGTACTCGTAGCGACCGACAGGTGGTGCTGCGGGTGAGGGCCTGATCACCAGATCGCTGAACTGCTTCTTGGGCGGCAGCGGCGGCGGCTCAGCATAGGGCGTGGAGTCCGGCCGTGGCGGCGGCTCTGGCGCTGCCTCATTCTCGCTGAGCGAGTCGCTCTCCTGCAGCCGGCGCATGTTGACGCTGGAGCCGATGCCGCTGGCGGAGTCGCCGCGCTTCGAGAAACGCGCCTGGCCAAATAAATGCGGCATCTTCTTGTTGCTAATGCTCGAGATGACATCCAGAGGACCACCCACATTGACGACACTGGCCGCGGGCGTGGGTCGATGACGCACACTGCTGCTGTGGGGCAGCGGAGCAGGCTCCAGCCGGGAGATGTCCGCCTGCCAGCTCTCCGAAGACTGCGTCGGCTGCTGTTCTGGCGGCAACTGCACCTGGAGTGGACCATTGAATACACTGGCTGGCGCTGCTGTGCTGACCGCTGGCTGTGGCACATCGAACTCAAAGGCGTCCAGCTTGGCAAAGAGATCGCCATCCTGGAAGGGATCCGGATCGCTCTTTTTACGCGTGGGTGAGAATGGATCGGTGTCGCGTGGCAGCAGCACGGGATTGCTATCCTGATGCTCCTCCAGGGGATTGCTGATCGTCGGCTCTGTGGTATAATAGTTGACGGATTGGTTAATAGGCTTGGACAGGGCTGCACTCTGACGTAGCATTAGTTTTAGTTTGGCAGCCGAAAAGTCTTCGACTTGGCCAAGATAAAGAGACGGAGTCTGGGTCTGGGAGTGGGAATGCGACTGGGACAGAGACAGGGACTGGGACGGCGCTTGGTGCGGGGGCGTGGGACTTGGCTGGGAACGGAAGCTGTTGGAGCTGTTTGTTAGTAGCAGGTGGTGTTGCCCAAGGCTTGCGGTGGTTATTAGTGGGTTAGTTGTGGTTGTTGTGGTGCTGCTGCTGCAACTGGCGGCGTTACCTGTGCAAGTGCAAATGTTAGCTGTGTTAGTAGTCGGGACTGTTTCATGGGCGTGGTCAGTACCTGAGCCAGCAACAGTTGCTGCTGCTGTTGTGTTAGTAGTTGTCGTTGTCATTGTTGCTGTTGTTGCTGCTGCTGTTGCAGCTGTTGCTGTGGTGCTCTCCTCAAAGATCGAACTATCCCTGCCACTGAGAAAATCATCAAAGTTATCGCCCTGACTGGAGCCAAGCTCCTTCAGCAGCTTCTTGGGCGGATTCTTAAGCTCTTGGAAGAAATATTTCTTATCGACATAGGGCCGTGTGCGCCCAATGCCCAGCGGATCCAGATCTGTGAACGCATCTGGCGAACCACACAATTTCAACAGAAGCAGAGCGAGACAGAGGTTGAGAAATGGAGAGAGAGAGAGAGAGAGAGAGAAAGATTGGGAGACTTGCATCAGTCACTGTTGGCAGAGACTCCAAGTAAAAGGCGTGCAATTGGTGTCAGAGAACTCAAGAGAAAAATGCAACTGAAGAGCTTTAAATCAAGACTAACTACAAATTGAATGCACAAAAACAACAACAGAAACAACAAAAGGAGCATTGTCTTATGGGTTAGTATTACTTATTTATTTAATATTAAATCTAGATTTTAACAGAGCTGCGCAGCCACGTTGGATGGAAGGATCTAAGGGACTTGGGAAGCTAAGCTAATTAATAGTTTACAGCTATTGTTGTCTGCAGTTCCTGTCAAGTTTAGCAGTCAACAGTTTAACATGGTTCTGTAACTACATTGGCAAATATTTTCTGCATATGTTATGTTAAATTTAAATATGTATTGGGAAATAACGTTCTGTTTTAACAGAGATTAAAAAATGTTAATGTAAATGATCTGCTGCCGCTGTTAACTGAATACAATTTGAAAGCGCATGTAAATGAATTAACAGCGGGCAATTTTGATTCGTTTGCTAAATGAATTTTCTTTCTTTTCTTTCTGTTTTCTTTTATTGCTTTCAATGGATGCCATTTTACAGCCCCGCCCAAAGCCAGCCACGCCTTAAGCTGATGTCTGTTCGCTGTTTGAGCTAGTGTAGTATTTCGCTATTTCGCTGAACGCAGCCAATTGACTGCGGCTCATTGAGCTCATCTGCCCGAGTCTCAGTTGACAATTGTCGCGGCTGTAAGCCCTGACCTGTAACCCCTCGACCCTCGCCCCTTGCATCCATTGTGAATGGCAGCTCTCTTATGGCAATCATTTTTCTTAACGAACTTCGATTTTGTAAACACTCACCCGACATGACCGCTGCAGCTGCAGCTCCCGCTCCCGCTCCTCCTCCTCCTGCCGCTGACGACGTCGTCCCATTGGCTGCGCTCTCCGTCTCTGTTAAACTGCTCAACGCACTCAGCCCCACATCGATGGCTGCTGCTGTCGTAGCTGTTGCAGTTACTCCTCCTGCCGTTGCGGGCACTGCTGAGATGTCGCTGCTCTGCTGCGTGGGCGTGGCTGAGGATTCCCTGGCTGCCAACGGCGCCATTGGCATGCTTCCCAGCACGGCGGCAGCTGACATGGGCGTAGGCGTGGCGGACACCTTGGTGGTATCGAAGACATCGTTCTGCTGCTGCAGCTCGTGCAGCCAACTATCATCATCATCCGCCGTCTGCAACGTGGCCGGTGAGCCGCTCGCACCAGGCGCTGGCGATAGCAGCGTATCCAGAGCAGCGCTCTCTGCCGTCTTGTTGGGCTGTTGCTGCTGCTGCTGCTGCTGCTGCTTGTGTCGAGTGCGTCCGGACTCGGGTGGCGGCGGCAAGATGTTGTACGAGGGCACATAGATGAAGGAGTCGCCAAACGGATCATCCTCACTGGCTGACTTGGCCAGGCCATGGCCGGATTGAGTTGTGCCCGGCTCATTGGGCGTAATGCGCTCCATCTGGCTAATGCCACGCTGCAGCGAAGTCAGCTCCTGCTCCAGATCAACCAGGTCTGCCACAGATTCCGGTGAGATCTACAAAGCGAGCAAAGATTAGTGAAGGTGAAGGAGAAATGCAGACTCAACTGTCGTTACCTCCTTGGCTGCTCCGCTCTTGCTCACATCCAGATTGACCCCCAGCCTTGTTAGGCCAACGCCATTCGAGGAGTTCCCGCCGAGCATGCTCAGATTGGCTGCATGCGCTGCGGCGGAGGAGCTGCTGCCGGAGGCGAGTTCGTTGTGGCTCGCTTTCAGCGAGGACAGGGAGGCCAGTTGGGTGGCATGATCGTGCATGGTCTTGCCCTGGATCTGCTGGCGTGCCATTTCGATCTCTTTCTTTTTCAGCTCGAAGACGACCTGGAAGAGATCGCGCATGGCCAGCACCACCTGGCTGGCCGCCTTGTCCGTCTTGATGCCAAAGAATCGATGTCCGCTATCCGGCGAACCAAATATGTAGCCAAACGCACGCGAATCCGTCATGTCCTGTGCTATGAACGAGATCTTGTGCACGGGATGATGGTAAAGCGAATCGCTGGTCTTCTCATCGCGCAATCTGAGACCATCGATGGTCACATGGATGATGATGCGCTGCTTGTGCTCGCCGGCAGCGCGTATGGCCATTTTCAGGTCCTGCAACGCCTCCTGGCACATGCGATCGCCACGCGCCTCGCCCACTTCCAAGATGCCAATCAGCTTGGCCTTGAACTGGACGCCATCGCCAAAGAAACGGCCGGGATCATTCCGATCTGCAAAATGCAAATTTATACATGAGTATACACATGCCTATGTATGAGTGTGTGTGTATGTGTGTGTGTGTGTGTGTATCTGCTGGAAAAACAAACAAACGTTTTGCGTAATTCGTTTCCTCTGCGCCGCTGCTGCCGCTGCCAATACCAAAAGTCTGCGCCAACGAGAGATTCGAGGATGCTTGAAGTTTGGACACCAGCGATTTGACCATTTTGTTAGCCACAAACGCAGCTCAGAACATGCTGAGCCTTCGTGTTTATGTATTGGTGTGTATCTGTGTGTTTGCTTGCGCCCCTCTGTGTATGTGTGTGTGTGTGTGTGTGTTTATGTTTGTTTGTGTGACATTCAGGGCATTTCCATGGCGCACAGACAAAGGCCAACAACGCGCACAAGCACCAACAATAATAACAAATGAAAACGATTTGAACGCGACGTATTTTATTTAATTAAAAAAAAAAAAACTGGCGGAAGAAAAACAGAAACAAAATACGAGAATGCGCCCGCATTCGCAGCCGCAACGATTCGCGCTCTGGGAATGAATGAATGACGACAGCGCTGCGAACTGCGAACAGCGAGATGCTGCGGTCGCTGCTGTGGGAGTGGGCAGAGCAGAGCACAAATACAAATCACGCACAGGCACAGATACACACACATGCGAGCACACATAAAAGGCACTGGAATTTTACTATTATTGTGCAGTATATTCAATGCAAAAATGAGCAAAAACAAAATGTGTGCTTAGAGAGCGGCAGCAGGCAGAGAGAGTGAGAGAGCGAGAGTCGGAGGATCGGAGAGTGAACGCGCGCGCTGTTATTATTTGCTAAAAATCTTGACGCAGCTGCACCACCTGCCGACGACAGCAGCAACAGCAGCAGCAGCGGTGGCAGCGACGCCGGCGCAGCAGCAGCTGTCGTCGGGTAAGTGACTTAACAACGATCAGACCATCACGTCATGCAAAACCTGGAGCAGGTATGTAGACTTGTTATCGATAATAATAATTATTAGGAAGGACGGAGAGGGCGAGAGTGAGGAACACAGGAAACAAGCACAATTTTCAGCAGCAGTAGCGAAATCAGCAGCGCAGCAGCTGGTGCCTAAGTCACCCCAGAGTGATCAAACACGTCATGCAACATTTTGCGCAGGTAAACAGGCTTGTCTTAGATAAGATAATACATACAATGTTACTTTGACTATGATAAATTCAAGCAACAACAGAATGCATACATAAATATGTAAATCTTTTTTAGCTTAACTATTAGCTTAAGACAACAGAATGTTTGCTAAGAGAGCAAGAAAGAGAGAGAGAGAACGAGAGAGTACCAAAAGGGAGCAGGGAGTTTATAGCAGCGGCAGCGACGCCGGCGCACCAGCTGTCAGTTAAGTGAGGCATACACGATCAGACACGCCTATCGTGCGCCATCGTCTTTATAGATTACGTTATCGATACGCTTTATATCACAATATATGAAGTTTTTTTTTATCAAATTCAAATGCAACTTACATTTACAAGGACTCGTTTTTTTGCGCAGCGTTTGCATGGTTGCTAATATTAACGGGTTGTTTACATTCGCGTAACGTCTAATGGCTGCGGTTTGCTGTCTGCGCTAAAGGCAGCTCGAAACGGGGGAAGGTTATTGTATTTCCGTGTCTTCCTTCTCAGCTCTTTTTAAACCGGTCACAGCGCAATTATGTAGTAGACGGGGTGGGTCCTTCAAGTCTACAACATGCGCTGACTTTTGACATTTGACCGAGTGAACGTTGCACTCCTTATATGCACTTGTCTCTATGTTTCCTTTCTATTACTTCTACTCCTTTTTATTTTTGTCGCCGTGGATATCTTTATTGTTGTTGTTGTGGTCGATAGTCCCCGCCGGCATAACGCAGACAACAAAAATACACACGTTAAGATTATCGATTTTTCAATCGGCACATTTCTTGTGTCGTTCTTATTCTTTAAAATACTTTGAGACGCCTTTAAATATGCAGCAATATTTGGAATGTTGAATAATCAATAATTTAAACAAGTTTTACACTTGAAACACTTAGATTTTATATGTGTGGCCAATGATGCAATTCGACTTTAACTACATTTTTCGCTAGACAATTGAGACTAATTTTTCACAAGGACTTAATAGAAAATTAATTCTGTTGGTTTCAATGAACATTTTCTTTATCGTATTTAAAAAGCCACTGTTTCACTTGGATTTAAGCAACCATTCCACTATTTTAATAGCGTTTAATTTTAGAATTTTATGATTCATTTAATATCCTTCGCTCTCGGACACAAAAAAAATCTCGATGGTAAACTCCAAGGATACAAAAAGTGGGGTGCTTTTTGTGCAGAGCACCCTGTGCCAACCGGCACTTTTGTTATCGATTGACAGTATTCATTTCAAACACTGAGTGATTATCATTACAGCGCATTAACAGTCAGCTCTCACTCTCTCGATAAATGTAACGCTACCATCTGAGCATAACATATTGCTAGCCGCAAAGCGTTTACAGCATGTTATTTGTCATAATTGTTGTTGTTTCGGTGAAGTACAGACGTGTTTATGCGGGTGCGCAGCGTGTAAATTGGTTGTTTGGAACAGAAAGTCAACTAATTGATAAACATAAAAGTTGTGACCAGAAATTGTCTTACAAGGTATTCGGCTTTGCAGCATTCTCTGTTTCATAGCTCAGCTCAGCTGCACAAGCACCTGTCATTGTGCTCTGCCGAATTGGAATCGTGCGCGCGTCGCTTAGCTGCAGACGGTGTTGAATATTTAAAAATTTACCCGCTTGCAATTAGTGAAAAAGTGTTAAAAAGTGTTCGCGAGTGTGTGTGTTTGCGCGCATTCGTGTGTGTGTTTGTGTGTACGAGAGTTTGTGACAAAGCAAACCAGTTAGTTGCCATCCAGTTGTAACAGATTTTTTGTTTTCAATCTCAGTAGCTATGCTGAATTAAATGTTAATCCTGGACACATACACACATATACTCCATAAATACATTCTTATACTTGGCTAATAGTTTTTAAGCTGTGTGCTCCTGTTCGATCGCTATGCGAAATTAATTTCGACTTTGTTCAAAGTGTTGCAAAATTCTAAAAATCGGTGTGTGTGTTGTGTGTTCCCCAATTGTCCCCCCTTTTGCAAAAGGCTTACTGACACGGCGAGAAAATGAATAAAACCTGTGCGCGCTGCCAAAAGGTGGTTTATCCCATCGAAGAGCTGAAGTGTCTGGACAAGGTGAGTCACAATTTAATAATAATGTTAGCTAAAAGCGTGTAAGAATATCGGAATTTATTTGTTTTTAGCTATTGTTGTGTGTATTGGCATTTTTTTCTTTCAATTTCAATTTTTGCTCCTTTGTTTTATGCCGCTGCTTCGCACTTGTTGTCTGTGCGCGTTAGAGCGAGACGGCTATCTAGTCACATGGCCCGCTGGTCTCATTGATCATGCGTACCGTTTGCTCTTATGTCCATGTCCGTTCTTGTTTGTTGTTTCTGTTTTATTATCCTACGCAATTCGTGGCCTGTTGTGGGCGCAGCAGCAGCACCACAACGCAGCGCCGTTTTAATAATTACCAGCAACAAATGTGTGCGAATAATAAAAAGCAAAAAAAAAAAAAAGCTGTTCAGCTAGTTTGTTGCGACTGCGTAGCGCTTCTTGGAATTTAGTTTAAGCAATATAACGGCACGCAAATTTCATTCCATTGTGTGTCTATGTGCGTGCGTGTGTGTGTTTGTACGATTGCGCGGGTGGTTGTTGTTTGGGCTTGCAACAAATTTTTCAATTTTCGCCAACTCAGGAAATTGAAAATTGCTTTTAATTTGCGTCGCCGCTGTTTCCGCTACAATTCCCTCTTCACCTCCCGCCTATCTACCTACCGCTCTTCTTTGGCAATTGTCTGCGCCAATTTGCGTATATTTTGCGTATGAGCAGCGACGACGACGACGACGCCGCCGTCAACGAACCGTTGCAAAGTTGCAGCGCAGCTTTTATCTCAGCTTTCTGTGTTGGTTCTTCAAAAGAAATACTCAAAAATAAATAAATAAGCAACAATCCGTTGACTGACCTTGAGCGCATATTTCGTTTCCAGTTTCGCATTCTCTTTCGCATACAGACACACACACACACACACACGCAATCACAAGCTTTGCGGTCATTGAGTTGCTTTCTTCTTGTGCTTATTGGTTTATGCTTAATTCCAGTTTATTTTTATTGACCGGCTGTGCGTCTGTCCCTCTGTCTGAACTGAGCTGAGCAGCACTAATTGTTTTGCCCTTTCGTTTCTCTTCTACTTATTTCTGCCCATCCAGTTTTTAGCGAGTTTTAGCTCAAAATAGGTTTAGTACTTAAGGAAACGAGTGAATATACATTGTACATATATTTAAACTCATGTTTATATTCACATACATCTGTATGCGCTGATAAGACATTGCCTGGAGACACGATTGTTTCAATTGTCATTTCATCATTCGTCAAATTCCATTCGACAGCCTTGTGTTAATCAGCTCCAACTATCAGCAGTTGCGACGTGTGTTCCACATCGTCTGCGGCTGCTGCTGCTGCTGCTGCTCTTAAGCGTTTGTCTAATTATAGTCAAGATGTGCTACATGCTCTCTTTCTATTGCTGTCACTTTCTAACGCACACACTCTTCCAGTCTCAATGTGCGTCTAATTTTAGCCGTGAAGTAATGAAAACTATTTAAAGACAGTTATAAAATATGCATGAGGCCTAATGGAAATGTTGAAACGTGTAAATAACTCGGGAGAGATTTCGAAACTTGACGAAACTCGACAAGAAAAACAATAACACCAAAAACATGAACGAACAGCATACATATACATAGTTATTTATTTGTGTATCCAGAGAAATGTTGAATGTTCCTTTTGGTTCGTTGCATTTTAGTTTACATCTCATTGTTTAACTTGTCTCATATGACGTGTTTCTATATCTCTCTCTGTCTGTGTTAGAGCATGCACAGCAATGATTACTGTATTCAGATTATTTGCAACTGTATTTCATAACATTTGTAAGATAATAAACAAATTGACTCATAGTCGCTTGTTATTTAATAAACAATAGGATTGTTTTATTGTTTTGCCTTTTGAAAATTAAATTACGAGTCTTATGACGCATATCTATTGAATGAGAAATGCACAAAATTAATCTCTATTATTTGCTGAGTATTTGATTTAAAAATATACGATTATAGTAAGGTATTTGTATGAATTCAAAACAATAAATTCGTATTGAAATGGAAATGAAATGAAATTAAATAGAATGAATTGTATTCAATTTGCAAATCTCTTTAAAATCAGATAAAAAATTTTGAATTGGATGGAATACTAACACAGTAATTGAATTAAAAGATAACAAATAATTAAATGAAACTAGTAAACTAGCCTTAACTTCGTTACAAATTAAAATTGTCTATTAAATAAGATCTATATAAAATAAGTCTGTAGTGTATCTCCTTCTCGCATTCATTATTTATTTCTCTTCTTTTATACTTCTCTGCGTTCTGTTTTTGCTTAGAAAATGCAGCGATATCTGCATCCTTCTTCTCTCGTATTGACGCTTTCCGTCTCTCTCTCTCTCCCTCCCTCTACCACACCTACATTTTCTTACTGAAAAGTTTTGTGCCATTTCGTTTGCGGTTGCCGCTCAATGCACGTGACATATCCTGATATAGAAATCGATACGCGTGACAGTCAATAAACGGGCATTTTATACCAATTATCTACACACACACACACATTCTCAAACACACACTGAAAAGTTTTGCCTTGTAAATGAAATGAAGAAATGCTTTTTAAATGCCGTTAAAAGTTAAGCAGCGCTGCTCGCGTTCGCTGCCGGCGCTTTGTTAATCGATTTTTGATACCAAGCTTCACTCAACTTGTCGCCGTTCGCAGTTGCAGTTGCAGTCGACGTCGACGTTGACGTTAAAGTCGTAGTCGTTGTCGTTGTCTCTGTCGCTGTCGCTGTCTGCAGCGCTGCTTCTGCTGCTGTTGCCAATTTCATTTATCTGACTTTTTTATTTGGCAAACACACGAAATGTGTGAGTTTTAGTTTTGCCTGCTTGTTATACTCGTTGCCCATTAAAAAATTGCAAAAAAGAAGAGGGAATTTCGCATGAAATTTGAATAATGTATGAGAATAGAGTAAGCCATAAAATATGCTTATAAATAGTTGATGCAGAAGAGATCATACTGCTATGATTGTCTATATATTATATGACAGTATAGAATTGATTTAGAATTGATAAATATCGATTTTTAGTAAAATTGTCAGGAAGAAAAACCAATTGAAGCCACTGTGATGGAACATAAGCAAACAATATCATTGATTTGCATATACCACAAGCTGAACTTCACTTACAGGGTATCTCATAGTCGAGTCCTATTTGTTAGTACTGCTGTTTTGCTTGGCTGCGGCGGACGCCACGACAGACGATTATTTTATGCTCGCAACGAAAGTAAATGACCTCTTTGTTGTCAGCCAACCCAGGCAGGGGCAGGCAGGCCGGTAGGAAGAGCAGGCTTAACATTTTGGCCAATTCGTGCAGCGTGGCACGAGTCGACAGTTAGTGTTTGGGCCAGGCCGGCAGGCAGCAGCGGCAGCAGCAACGAAGCGCAGCGCAGCGTCAAATCCAAAACGTCCTCCATTTGCAGCTACTCCGTTTGGCACTTAGGTAGCTCCAACTGTATCCAGTTGGGGCTCTGCCCCGTCTGTGGCACACTTTTCGGGCTGTCGCTTTGCTGAATATTTTAATTTTTGGCATTTGCGCCATGACAAATGACTACAGCGACAAACTTGGACGGAGCCGACTAGCCGCCAAAAAGAAGGAGAAGAAGAAGATGATGATGCAAAGTATCTTTAGCTCGAAATCTTATCTGAAATTATTTTGCTGTTTGATGTTGCCATCACGTGCGACACTTGAACATCGTTTCCGCTTTCCAATTGCCAACAAGAAGTTGAAGAGCTTTGTAAAGCTAGTGATGAAAGCGGAGACACGCGTGACACGGAATAATAGTAATAGAGAGTGTAGTGAATGAATAAAAATAGAATGGAGATAAATGAGACAGAAATTGCATATTTAAAAGATATCAAATCAAATCTAGTTTTCAATTACTATAAATATTATAGATAGATATACATACATAGAACGACACACACGAGCTCCTCTCTAGAAAAACTCTGGCAACACCGAATAACAACGACAACCGCATTGACAATGACAATTGGTTTTATTTATTTTTTTCCACTCTTGACTGGAGCTCTTCAACTCTGAAAGCGAAGTTCACTTTTGCATGACAAACCATTTCTGAGTGGTGCCCGCTTGGCCCCTAACTGCACCGCTCTCCCTTCTGCACTCTCCTGCCCTCTTTCCCTACTCTCTCTTTCTTTCTCTCTCTCTCTCTCTCTCTCTCTCTCTCTCTCTCTCTGTTACTCCGCCTGAAGCACTCGTGAGAGAGAAGGGCGCTGCAATTTTATAAACAATTCAGGCATGAAAATAAAAGTGGTCAAGCAGCAGCAGCAGCAGCAGCGACATCGTCGACTTTGACTTATCGTTGCTTTGCATCTCCTTATCTTCATTTCCTTTCTCACACACACACACACAAACACACACATTGTAATTTCACTTTGTGCTTTGTTATTTCGCTGTGAGAACTTTTTGTGGTATTATGCAATTTGTTGTGCCAGCTTTTACCTTATCTCTGTTTGTTGTCTCTGCTCCTTCCACGCTTCCTCTGCTCACTCACTTTCGCTGTGCAGCGCGCAAATCAAAGCCTAAAGCTCAGCTCTTGGCTTATTTGTTATGCTCCAATTTTTCTTGTAATTAGCCTCGTGGTTGGTCGGTCAGAAGTTTTGGCGATTGCCAATTTTGACAAAGAAAAAAAAAGAAGAAAAACCACGGATTTCGGTTGCCAAATGAGAAAAAGCAGATGACTAATTAAAGTTGGCCAGAAAAGAACTTAAGAAACTAATCAGAGAGGCTTATTGAGTTAAAAGAGATTTATTTGCATATAAATAAAGGGTGATTTAAATGTGTTTAATAGTAGAGATTTATACAGTAAAACTACATGTATTCAAATATCAGAATAGACGTACATACATACATATATCACATTAGAGTATATGGCCAGAAGAGTATTTCAATTGCTGTTTTCTTTATTTTTTCGATTTTTTTTACTTCGATTTGCTTTGTGGCCCAATTTTTGCATTGAAAATAAAA